AACAAACATAGATGTACAAATGTCTCTGCAATAGGATGAGTTCTTTGGGTATATGCCAAGGATTGGTATAACTAGATCAAATGGTAGGTTCATTTGTAGTTTTTAAAGAGTTTTCCACACTGCTTTCCACAGGGTTGAACAAGTTTGCAGCCCCACCAGCAGTGGATGAGTGTTCCCCTTTCCCCACATTCTCTCCAACATTTGGTATCATTTGTTCTCTTAATCTTAGCCAGTCTGACTAGGGCAAGATAAAATCTTAAAGTGGTTATAATTTGCATTTCCCTAATTACTAGTGATGTTGAACATCTTTTAAGATGCTTCATAGCCATCTTTACTTCTTCTTTTGAGAGGTCTCTGTTCAGCTCCTTAGCCCATCTTTTAATTGGGTTACTTCCTGTCTTGATTCTCTGTTGAGTTCGTTATATATTCTGGATATTAAACCTCTGTCGGATGTGTCACTGGTAAAGATTTTCTCCCATTCTGTGGGTTTTCTGTACACTATCCTGTTGCATCCTTTGATGTACAGAAGCTTTTTAGTTTAATGAGGTCCCATTTATTGATTCTTGACCTTGTTTCCTGAGCAATTGATGTCCAGTTTAGGAAGTCCTTTCCTACTCCTATATCTTGTAGGTTTTTGCCAATGTTTTCTTCTAACACTTTCAGAGATTCAGACTTTACACTGAGGTCTTTGATCCATTTGGAATTGACTTTTGTGCAGGGTGAAAGACAGGGGTTTAGCTTCATTCTTTTACAGGGGGGAGATCCAGCTTTGCCAGCACCTTTTGCTGAACTTCCTCCAGAGAATACTCTTGGTCGGTTTGTCAAATATCAGGTGGCTGAAATTGCATTTACTTATATTTGGGTCTTCAATTTCATTCCATTGATCTATGGGTCTATTTTTGTGCCAGTACAATGTTGTTTTTATGACTGTAGCTCTGTAATACATCTTAAAATCTGGTATAGTAATCCCACCCGGCATTGCTCTTAATGCTCATGGTTGTTTTGGCTATCCGAGGTCTTTTGTGCTTCCATATGACTCTTAGAATGGTTTTTTCCAATTCTGTGAAAAATGTCATGGGGATTTTGATTGGCATTGTACTGAATCTATAAATGACTTTTGGTAATAAGGTCATTTTCACAATATTAATTCTTCCAATCCATGAGTATGGGAGGTCCTTCCATCTTCTGATGTCTTCCTAAATTTCTCTTTAAAGATGTACAATTTTCCTTGTAGAGCTCTTTAATGTCTTTGGTCAGGTTTATTCCAAGATT